GGCTCTATTGTGGCACCGTTATGGCAGTCCAAAATATCATCCAGATCAAAAGTTCTGATGATACGATCTTGTGAATTTGTTATAATAAAGTTGCCTCTTCGTGGAATCACAATTTGTTTGACCTACAACAATGTACACTTATGCATAAGTTATGAAAAGGTTAAGTGGAAATTATGAGAGTTACTTATCAATCAGATATTGTCTGTTTATTCAACGTTACGTACCTGCTGAACGCTATTCTGTTTCCCCCAAGAAACCATTTTCAGTGTCTTCGCATTGTACACAACAAGTTTTCCCTGAAAAGCGCATTGTAGAGATTATTGCAGCTATCTCATGGGCAAAACTCAAGAGATAAGCAATAGGAATATTGCGATAAAAGAAGAGTGCCAAGTAGGAAGTTATAGCACCTATGGAAAAAAATGAACTAGAAAAGGAGATGTGCTCTTTGTGCGTTTTGCCACCATATTAGTGTGATCTAACATCCTGCCAAGTAAAACGACATGATAGGGCTATGCTAGGTCATAATGAACAATTTGTACTGTAGCATGTGATCAAGCAGCCAAAGCGTTACCTTGTTCGTCCCTGTAATGAGGTAGTTAGCTCTGCGATCAAAAGCGATAGCCGAAACGCCATCTTCCACAGCACCAGGGATATCATTCGTAATGATACGTTGAGATCTTGGCTCCAGCTCATCCAAGCATGGTGGATAATTGAGTTGAAGAACGAGAATTTGATTGTCATTTCTGAAAATAAAATACTGCTTGCCTGACAGAAAACTAAGAACTTTAATGTAAAGAAAATAGACATGGAAAGGTCAGGTGAGAAAAAAAAGATATAAAATGCAGGAAAATCTCCTAATATATCTTATAGTAGTGCAAATTTCAGCCAAATCGAGAATAAAGCATAAGGGTGACACATTTAAATTAAGAGGCACCTTGGATTAAATACAGCAGAAGTGACCATAGCTGAATATTTTAATCGATGTAAACAAGCTCCTTCGATCACGTTCCAGACGGCAACAGTAGTATCCGCAGATGCGGTAAGCAATTTGCGCCCATTGCGAGACCATGATAGAGATGACACTGGCAGCGCATGAGCTGTCCAAGTCTAAAATCTTTACTTTAAAAATGGCTAAGAAAAGTAACAAATAATTATGGACAACCAAATTGGATTAACTAATGAAAAAGCAAGCCGAACAAACCTTTACGATTCCTTTCGTGACAAAATCAAAAATGAAAATTCGTCCATCTGTGCTGCCAACGGCTAC